TCTGATGGAATCCCTGTTTTTTTGGTTGCTCTTTGAAAAGAGTAGGACATTACTTTTAAAAAGTCTGTATTAAGAGATTATTAAGGTTGCAAACTTAAACATTCAAAAATTGGAAGATGCCAGAAGTAAGTTTGCTTTTTCACCCAAACCTAAAATAGGGAACACACGAGTAGTCAACACTTGCAAAATGACATTTTAGTGGACTTGCTCAGTCTCTCATAGGGACTCTGTACAGAGGCAGGGATATAGCCCCGTTCTGCAGTGTGGCTATCATACCCTAACCGTAACACTGTCATTTCTTTCCCTGTAAACCTCTGCCATGTTTCAGGAAGATAGGTGCAGGGGTTTGGGGGAAACTGCACCTCAAGCTGCTGGCAGGCAAAACTCGTGACATGGGTGACACTATGTGTGTTAAGGCGCAGCAGGGTAAAAGCTGCAGGGATGGTGGCTCCTGTTGAGGCCATGAAGCTCCGAAGCTTTGGAGCCGCTTTGGCCGGATCGAAGCGGGAACCCGGTCCGGAGCTCCGGATTGGATCACTGGCATCTGAAGTGGCCAGATCTGGAGCCGGATTGAATAGCTGCCTACTCACACAGGTCTACTAATTAGCTCCCTAAGTAGCATCCCATTCTGATTTTGGCAGTGGAAAAAAGTAATATGTGGTCATGTATCATATGTACATACAGTAGGAGGAGTGTATTTAAGTTTCCACTGTCTTTCATATACTCCCTCTGCTCTCTCTCTTAGATAGGAGGCACTTCATTCCCGGTCTTCAGCTACTGCATACTTTGACTGTAAAATGTTTAACATGCCAGAGGTGGTTGGGGCTCTTCAGCGACTGGTAATATGATTCCAAGAAACTAGTGTGTGTAACAGGAGATTAAGTTTCTAAAACATTTTGAGAAAATTCAGAAAGAAAGGTTTCATATATTTCTGAGACATTTCCATTATTATGACAATTCTGGTGGAAGGTGAAGTGGCTGTGTTGGAGACATTGCAGTTTGTTCAACGTATCTGATGTTCCTTTCTAATGACAGGTGCTACAAGTTTGGAAGGTTTCTATTTTATTAGGAATTCTTATGGAAAGTATAAGATCCCAGCTACCCTCCCTCATGACAACACAGACTATAAGCACTTGATCGTTCCTGTAGCAGTGAAATCTTTCAGTCTTAAGGACCCCGCACAATGACCCTGAGCATGATCCGGCCTGCAGACCAGCTTCCATGCCACTCATCCAGTTGGTTGTGTACAAAATGACAATAGAAATTAGGCAAAACTTTTATTCTAACAGTCTATCATTCATTTTAGTGTAAGATCTGCATTAGATCCTCTCCATCTAGTGTACATCATGCAGTGTCCACATATAATGTCGATTTAGTCCTAATGAAACACAGGACTAGATAACTTCCCTCCTGAAACGCCTGTTTGCTCTGTTGTTGTAGTTACCAGGCTATAGAGTCAATGGACTCTCACTGTCAGCTGCACACCCGTGTTTGAAAGCGGTTAGGCTGGGTCATTAACTCATCGCATGAGTGCCTCATTGACCCAATGGCCATGTTTTTATGTTCTAAAAGTCTCTATATTGACTTTGAATATTTTAGGTTAGGTCTGAAAAATAAAGAGCTGGAAAAGAATGACTTAGCTAAAAAGAAGATAAGCAATTTAAAAACACAACATCACCTCAGTTCTTTCATCAACAAAGAATGGGATCGCTGGGCTTGACTAACACTTGAATATGAGGTTGTAGATGGTAACTGAAGCTGCTCCACATTTCACCTCCTCCTACATTATTCCCTTTGTTAGAGCCATTGTTAATGCACTGCAGTGTGTGGCTTGTTCAGTTCTTGTTCTAAATTCAGCAGTTTTGTTGGGTATGAAAGGAACTCAGATAGTTTGGGGGAAAGGTGATGAATTAAAGCATGAAAATTACAGTAGCTGGGAAACAGGCAGAGGTGTGCTGGCTTGACCTGGGCTCAAGTGGAGTGATTTCATGATGGTTTTTTTTTTTTTGCTCACTACCTCCACCATGTCCTGATCACTACTTGTAGGAGGTATGACTAGAATGGCCCCAGGGACTATTAGTGCATTAGTTACATGGAAATGCTGACGTCCATCAGCCAGATGAGATGAGGAATACCCGCTATGCATATGGGGACACAAATGCCTCTGGACCCCAGAGACTTTGCTTGTATTCCAACCCTGAATAGCCTGAAGTGTTTTGTAGAGGAGATCCTCTCTGCCTCACTATTTTGAACTCCTTCATAAAGGTGGGTATTTGTGTTCCTGTTGCAGAGTTCCCAGGACAGAGATGTGATCCTGAACATCCTTGGTATACTCGCTGACCTGTTCTCAGTGGGTAAGTAACTGGTGACTTTCACAGGGTGAAAACAGAAATTCCTAAGGCTGGGCACAGGGAACACTTCCCATTAACTCTGACTTGTTCTTGCCAGGTTGATTGGGCCTGGTTTGTATCTGGAGCCCTTCAACTCTTCTTTCTACCTTTCTGGGAGTCTGGGGTTTTATTTTGCTCAAAGAAAGAGGAAGTTTCTAATGTTATTTTTAATTTTATCATGTAGAGAAAGGGCCAAAAATGGTTTAAATGGTTCCACGTTGCTGGGTTTTTGGTTGTAGCCATGTTGGTCTAAGGACATAGGCAGGTAAGGTCCTTTGGGTAGATGTGGTATCTTCTTTTATTAGACCAAGCGAGTAGCTGGAAAAAGGTTCTCAGCGGGCTTTCCTATTAGGGCTGCGTGAAACGGCACCGTTCTGCTTCACCTTGAGTTTCGATGGAACAGGGTTCATTTCTAATTTCATTTCGATTCGAAACAGAAAGGCTGTTTCGACGCTATTTCAATGTTTCACTGGGGACAGGGAGTCAGCCCAGCTGGGATGAGCTCATTTCCCCAGCACTGTGGTTGAAATGTTTCGACTTTCCAAATGTTTTGACTAGCCTTGTTTTGTTTTGAGGCTGTTTCTCAGCCCTTTGTTTCATTTTGATGTTGCTGTTTCGACCTTGAAATGAATTGAAATGGTGTTGAAACGAAAGGGCCAGCAAAATTTTGCACAGCGCTATTTCCCATGCCTGACAAAGGGTGGCTGCACCTGAAAGCTTGCTAAGAACTTTTTTCCAGCTACTCATTTGGTCTAATAAAAGAAGATATCACATCTACCCACATTACCTGTCTATGTCCTTAGATCAACATGGCTACAACCAAAAACCCAGTAATATGGAACCATTTAAAACATTTTGGCCCTTTCTCTACATGATAAAATTAAAAATAACTTCCTCTTTCTTCCAGCAAATAAAAAAGATCACAATTACCCAAAGAACCTTGCCTGTCTTTGACGATGCCATGCATGTCAAGATATTTTACATCCCGAGGAGCTTGCAAAGGCCCAAAGTCACCAGGGCCGCTAGAAAGTGAGAACCATGAGACATGAGCAGGAGGCTGACTTCCCAGGCTACGACAACTCAACTCTGTAACAGGCTTCCTTTAATAGCAAAGAGCACAAATGGCTTCTCCTCATCCCCACTTGAATAGGGTAGGAAATATTCTGCAGGGGTGGAGAAACTCAAAAATCCCAGGAAAAGGGTGGGCACAGCATTTTCAAAGGCTCTTCTATTTGTGAAAGTGTTACTACAGGGGCCCCAGTTATGTGGAAGGAAGAGCTGCCAATAGAGCTGAAAACAAGATTAAACTTTTCCCACCCATTCCTCAAAGAAATTTCATTTGAACAAAAAGTGCCAGCAGGTTTAAGTTGCCAAAATTCAGAGCTTTGTGTGCATTACGTAGTTTCTACATCCCTGTGCCAAGCTTCTCATACTCCCCCTTCACACTCCTTACTTCTCAAAGTCCTGTTAGAGACACTTTCAGTTCAGCAGTGACTCTTTTGTAGCCTTCAGTGACATTCCTCCATCAGCTGGGGGGATTTTTTATGGAGAATAGGAAGTACTGTCTCCCCTGAAATATCTTCAGGGGCTAAATATGCTGCTCCCACAGTCTCCCCAGCGTGGGTTACCACGAAATAATTCACAGATGACCAAAGCGCCAGAGAATTGCCCTGTAGGACCTCCAGAGCCAGCATTAGTTTCTTTGGAGACCTGCTTTGTTGGAGAGCCATCTCCAAAACTTTCCTAGCACTCCTTGTTCTGAAGGAGTGTTCTGTTGAACCTTTATACCTTTAACTGATTAACTTTTGCTATCTCAGGGAAGAGCACGAAGCTTTCCACTCCTTTGAAAGCTTTGGGTGACTGCCTATGTCCTTAGACCAACATGGCTACAACCAAAAACCCAGCAACGTGGAACCATTTAAACCATTTTTGGCCCTTTCTCTACACGATAAAATTAAAAATAACATTAGAAACTTCCTCTTTCTTTGAGCAAAATAAAACCCCAGACTCCCAGAAAGGTAGAAAGAAGAGTTGAAGGGCTCCAGATACAAACCAGGCCCAATCAACCTGGCAAGAACAAGTCAGAGTTAATGGGAAGTGTTCCCTGTGCCCAGCCTTAGGTATTAGACCAAGCGAGTAGCTGGAAAAAGGTTCTCAGCGGGCTTTCCTATTAGGGCTGCGTGAAACGGCACCATTCTGCTTCACCTTGAGTTTCGATAGAACAGGGTTCATTTCTAATTTCATTTCGATTCCTCTCTAGCCTATTTAACTGCACAATGACAGCCTTAGCTGGATATGGCCTGTAAAGATAATAGCAGCAAGGGCAAGAGACAGCAGAACACATGGCTTGGAGGAGTAGATCTGGGTCTGGACTCCAACTTCAGCTTGGGCAGGGTCTGTTTGAAATCCAAACCAGATGCAGGTTTTGTAAATGCCCCTGCATGTAAAAAAAGTCTGACTAAGAAGGCACCGGAGAGGGTCATGCAGTAGACTTCCACACATCCCAGTAAGCATCATCTGCACCATGGAAAACTCACTTCTTCCTAGGTTTTAGACTCCATGGCAGGAAAGTTTAACCTTCTCTTCTAATTTTTCCCTCTCTCAGGAACAGATCGGAGAATTCACTACATGATCAGCAAAGGAGGCAGTGAAGCCTTGCTGCAGGCCCTTGTAAATGCTGCCCAGACAGCTGAGCCAGACTACAGCATCCTTTTACCTCTGCTTCGTTTGTTGGCTAAAGTAGGCCAAAGAGGTATTGCTTGCCCACAATTACTTAAAAGTATAGGGAAGGGGGAGGAAATGATCCAAAAGGTCACAAGTGTGGTCAGGGCTAGGATCAGTAAGTAATAGCCTGTATCCTTTAATGAGGAGGGACCTTTTCAACTGAATGCTGTCTCAGAGGGAGGGACGGCGGGCCACAAGAGCTGCAGTGGGAAACTGTGATAGTTTCAAATGCTGATGAAAGGAGGCCTGTCCAATGAATATGAGCACAGCTGATGGAGATCATTATGGGTTAGCTGAATTGGTAGACATGCTGCTTTCTGGATCCAGGGTCCCTGGCTGAAAGGACAGGTGGGCAAAATTCCATACGGAGCTCATAACAAGCTGCTAAACAGCATGTTATATAGTACTGATAGAGCCCAGCTGCTGGGTCGTAAGAGGCTCCATTACAAAATATGACACTTTGCAGAGGCTCTTTCTGCTACTCTGACACAGACTTTATTCTCCAATGATGCATTAAAAAGGCATTATTGTGTGTACAGTAATGGATGGCTGTGTTCCTTTCATTTGAGGGACTGTTGTTTAGTGACTAGAGCGGGCCTGCCTGCTTGAGTTCAATGGATGCTGTTCGTATATGGAGAATGTGACGCAGGTAAGTCAAGTGCCTCAGTTTACCCATCTGTAAAAGGGAGAGAGTAGTGCCAGTGTGCCTTGCAGGTTATTTTGAGGTCATAGCAATAAATATTTGTAAATGCTTTAGGATCCTTCTGAAGGACCCTGGATGCTTCTGTCCTGTAGCATTTTTCCATTTCTCCTGAAGGCTCCTCTTCATTTATTGTCATTTTATTCCCATTTTCTTTTGCAGACAGGAAGTTTGGGCAGAGGGTGCAGATGCTGGAGGCAATTGATGTGACCCTGAGCTTGGCAAGGAAAAATCTAGGCCACCACCTGCATCTCATCCACTGTCTCTGGGCCCTGAGGGTTTATGCTTCCAGTGGTACGTATGCTGATTTCCTTCTGTTTCTAATGTGGGTAAGATGTTGACCTAGCACCTGATGAAGTAAACTGATGCCTAAAAAAGCTCATACCTTTCTGATCCAGGTAGTCTTTAAGGTGCCATCCTACCTTGCTTTCAGACTAACCACCTCTCTGCTCATGTTGGTGAGTGTCAAACCCCTCTTTCATTTATCTTAGTGCAAACTATTGACACCTGTAGTATAGGGACTTGTGCATTATTACATATCTGTTGGAATCTATTTGTGATGATAGATAGCATTGCACACCAAAACTAGACTGATCCCAGGTTCAATTCCTTGCGGCAGCCCTTCTACTCTAGTAGTATTTGAACCTGCCCAGCCACAGACTCCAGAAAGTATAAATATTATTATAGAAAATAGCCTCAGAAAAGGCTATTTAGTTCAGATGATACAGGGTTGCTCCTGTTGTAGTGCTGTCTTAGGGCATGACCTACTTCTCTCCCCAACATGGCGCTGGAGTACATGATACTCCATGTATTTATCCACAGAAGCACTATAATCCCCACTTTACAGGTGGGGAAGCTGAGGCACAGAGAAATACTTGGCTTATCCCAGGGTGCATAGGAGGCTTGCAGAGTTGCTAGGAACTGAGCACCTATCCCCAGAGTCCCTAAACCAGGGGACCATCCTTTCTTTTCTCTGTACTGGTCTTAAAGGATGACTCAAACCATGGGAATTCCAGTACCTTCAGTCATTGTATGTTCAGTCCCTCCTAGTGCCTTTTACTCCACAGGTAATACTAGAAAATCATCTTGGTTTCCCCCTTATAGGTTACTCTTTGACCTAGCTGTGCATCTCTAGCTTTCTAAATCATTCCTCCTAAAACCCAGCATCGCTGGCTCTCAGCCCTGCAGGCACAGGAGTTGCTCTCAAGCTATGGGCCTTCTCCAGCAGACAGGTAGTCAGTCTCCAGCAGTTGGTCCCTCTCCCTGAGATAAGCATTATTTGAAAAGGTGAGTGTCACTGAGCCTCTGACACAGAGAAGCAGCTACAATGTGCTTCAGTTTGGGTTATACAGCTTCACCACCAGCTGCCTCCTGTAACAAGACCTCTCTTCCCTCCCTCCCCCGTCCCCTTTTAAGCACACCTGCATCTCAGTTAAGCTAATACCTGCAGAGTCTTTAGCTGTTAACTTAATGTCAGGACCTAACTCATTCTCCAGGTTGTTAGTGACATCTGAGCATCTCCTAAGGCATGGAGCAGTGTCAAGAAATGGACATAAATTTTAGTGAAAAATGTGCCTGCATTTTTCTCAAAAAACCCCAAAAAAAACAAAAACAAAAAAAACAGAAATGTATCTCTAGCTCTGCTTAATAAAGCTTTTGTCACTACAGTTTCTACATCTCATCTGTGGCATGGTGGGTGGGGATTGATATTGTGCTGTGCACTATAGCTAATGCAAAGGATTTTGCACAAGCCCTTGTGGAGAGCCCTCTAATTGCCCTGTGCCAGGCAGAACCAGTTCTTCCAGGTCCATGCTCCATCTCCAGGCAGCCTGGGTATGAGGACTGTTCTGGGCTAGGCCAAGATTGGTGTGGAATTCGTAGGAGATGAGGTTCCCTGGTCCCCAAAATAAACCTCATTGAGTGGAGCAGTAGCAGATCCAGGAGCATCTGTAGATTTGAAGGTTGTTTGGGGGTGAGAATCTAAGCAGCCAACCCAGACTCATTGAGATCTCATTGAAGCTGCTCATTGCTCTGTGTTGCTGCCTTCCCAGCCTGTGCCACCAGCCCCATGTGTGGCATGCATTGTGGTCTACAGGGAGCGCAGTTCAAGCTGCCTCGTATGCCGCCTGTCCCCCGTGAATGGCTTGTTATTTTGAAAGTAGCCGGCAAAGCCTTCCAAAGCTCTCCATCAGCAGGATGACTTGGCGGAGACCTGATAGGGGCTGCATAAGTTGATGGGCCCTTTGGCAGCTTCCTGATGGCCAGTGGGAGATGGTTACAAAGCAGCCAGAAATCAGCCCCGGGCTGGCATCCAGGGCGCCTGCTGGCTGCTGACAAGGGGTGTTGATTTCTTATCCTTTCCCCCTGTTAGGACACCTCTGCCATTTCCCACCCTCTT